AGGTTTAACTGATGATTATAGAAGGCTACTGACAAACATTTACCTGAAGTTTGACAAGCAACTGAGGTCTGGTGGTGGAGTGAAAAGGAGAGTAACTGATATCTATGACCTTGAGAAAGAGGTAGGGTGTCTTTAGGCTAAGTTCACACATATGCAGTGTGGTATATTGCATGTGATTCGCACAGGAACCGCACCGCATTCCGGTGCAAATCACATGCGATTTGTGTGCGATGCGATTGGAGCCATACATTTTGTATGTTTCCAATAGCACCGCATTCACACCAAAAAGGTGCAGAACCCTCTTTTGGGTCCGCACTAGAATCGGATCACATGGGTATTCACACCTATTCGATCCAATTCTGCACATCACACCACGTTTTGCGGACCGATTTCAGGGTGTTGTTAACTTAGCATACACACCCATGGTGGTTTGCATGAATGGGGTGCAATTCTGATGCGGTGCGGAGTTCGCACATAAAACGCTGCCAATTCAGTGTGAACCCAGCCTTAGACAAGCTGTGAGGATTAATGTTTGGCAAACCACTGAGGTTTGCAGTAAAATTGAGAAGCATACTGGGAGTTATGCACTGCAAAGGTTAAATTCTTGTTATGTCCAGGTTCGACCATTAGCTCCGGCACTCTCCTGTTCTTCTCTAAGCTCTCGTCTGTGGGCAGTTCCTCCACGTCATTACATACAATGCAGGGCTAATAACACTGCATTGGAAGTGGAGGAGGTGAGCTTGTAATTGCAGCTATGTGCGATTTAGAAAGGAGGCTGCAGAGGACTGTTCATGTTGCTGAAGAAAACTGGCTGGAGCATGGAATAAGGTAAGCTTTTTTCTTTATTTCAACATTCCTAAATATAATGAGCGTTTAATCCATGCAATGCACAAAGGCCCTACTGCAAGAGTTTTTTTTTTTTCTAATTTTTGTGCTTGGAGTCAGCCTTCATTGAAAATCTCCTTACCTATAACCATACAGCAAGCATAAAATTGTTAATTTCTGCTGAACCACGCTATACTTTCCATCTGACTTGCTTCTTAAAGCATCCTGTAGAGAAGGAAATGTGAGTATGAAAGTCTACACCTGCACTGCAGCAACTCACAAAATCCCAGATGTCAGTAGAGAAGCGAATCCCATATTTGCAGCGACTCTTACTAGTCAGGTGACAAGCTTCTATGCACACAATGAGATTACCAGGGATTACCACACCCTCATTAAAGATTTCTTCACGCTTGTAGCATTGAAGTAGTAAACCACTGAGCATAGTGCAGTTCTTTCCAAGAAACCTTAAGCAAAAAATAAATCTCAATTTGGAACGTAATGTATGTGTGCGAACGTGCACAGAAGCAGGCATGACATTCATGAAGATTTGTGAACTCGTGCTTATACACCTTGTTTCTTAAAGTGACACTTTTCTACAAAAATAATCCATACACATCCAATACTTAATGACCCTTATAATCTAGTTTTCATGAACTAGTTTTCTTGCTGTGTTTTTTTTTTCCGTCTCCTTGCAATGTCCTCCCGTGAGTTCCTGATCCTCTCTTTTTCCATCTCATTTCCGTTTGTTTGAAATGAGCAGTGCACGTTAGTCGGGGTTATGTGCACTGCACTAGTACATCTCGGGAGTGAGCAAGAGATAGTGGTTATGTTCCTGCATTCATTGGGACCATGGAACAAACATAGCACCCTCTAAGGGGAAAGCAGATCGCAGCAGCAAAAAAAAAAAAAAAAAAGAAGAAAATTGGAAATTTGGAGGAGTCTGAGAACAATAGAAGGTACTTTTTTGAATAAGGAATATCCTGTATACTTGAATAGAATGGTGTTTGATCAGGATTTAGTGCAACTTTAAATATTACAGTAATGGGACAAGTGTAAACCATTCAGCATATAGTGTGCAAAAGTTATGGTTAGTGTGAGTTTCTTACTTGTGATTGCATTTTAAGCAGGCCAGGTTATTCCTATAATACTGCCAATATGTAAGCATCTGTTAAAAACTAGTAAAGTGGTTTGGTGCAGGGACTTGTAAATCTTTCACTGTAGTCTGAATTCTTCTTATCCTTTCCCATTTGCCAGGATTACACTTTAAAAAATGGCTATGGTTACCTTAGCGGACATAGCTATTAGTTTACCATTAATCTTAAACAAATGTTGTTGCTGTAAATGGCCATAGAGCCCGATACATTGGAAATAGGCATTCTGTAAGCAGGACTGTGAAAAAGGGAGTACAACCAGCCCTCCTGTACAGGGTCCAAAACTACAGGGGACCCAGGCAGCTGGCTGAATCGAATGTGGACATGGAGGGTGACTGGTATGATGGGGTGGGTAGGGGGGCAATTACTGGAACCAGTCCCCTGTATGGCTCTCTGCTGCAGAGAGACCCATACAAGGGATTGGTTGGTTCCGTTAATTGCTTCCCCCCCCCCCCCCCCGATGCTCCCATCACCCTCCCTGTGCACCATACGTTTTCCCTGCTGCCCAGGTTCCCCTGTGTGCCCACACCCCTGCAGTGCTGCCAGATTCCCTCCTCTCTTTCCCACCATGAGCTGCAAGCACACAATAGGATCCTTCAGGATGGAGTGTGGAGAAGGGTCCAGTAAATATGTTACATTTACTAGCCCCTTCCTTTCCTAAATGAACATCAATCAGTATCGATCACTCACTGTGTTAATTCATAACTGAAGCATAGTAAACTGTTTTTGGGGGCCCTGTCAGGTTGGCTGTATGGGGCCCCATTGTTTCTAACAGCAGCCCTGTCTGTCAGGGGTCATAATGAGCACTTCTGGTCATTGAAATTATTTGGTATCATGCACTCATGTTTTTCCAATTGACAACTGATTTCCAGAGCACTGTGGATGTTCTAAGTATAGAGCACAGCAGGACTTACTGCCTTTCTGGCTCCATGCTTGTCATATAATCCCATAGCATAGTCATCTGTAGGATTGGAGTGGAAGGGATATGAAACCTCAAATTGAGCTATTGAGTTCTTAAAATCTCCAAGCATCCTTCCCCTTACTACTAGGCACCCTTACCATTAACTGCAGCTCAGAATGCCGCTGCAAAAAAACTACCAGGACTTTGAAATCTTACTACTTTGTTACTACACTGTGAACTGCTGGAGATCATAGAATTTGACATATCTACTAAAACAAATAATAAACTGTCCAGTATGTTTGTATTGTGGGTGCACATGCAGTTGTCATGCACAAAGCATATGTGATTCCTAAACCTATGCAGCAAATCAGATTTTTTGTTTTTACTGTGTAAGGTGCTGTCTTAGTTTGCCATGGTCATTGAACATCCATATAATTCAGGTTTTGTACCTGTAAAGTGCATACACATGCACATGTCCTCTGGTTGTGTATAAATGTTTTGCTTGCGGTTCTTGTTAAAGTGGTACTAAACGGCAAAAAGAAAAAATCTAAAAAAAACTTCTCTCTGCAAGTTAAAGTGTTACTTAACCCAGGGCCCTGCATTCACTATATCTGATCTTCCACAGTACACAGAACATGGAAATGCAATTATGTTAGTAAATATAAACTGCTACATACCTTTTCTCATCAGCAGTTAGAGCAGTCTTGTGACTTCTATCAGTGTCCTGCAGAGAACTGGTGGTTAAAGCTTGTAAGAGGAGTTTTCATTCTCCCATATTAGGCTGTATGACCCCTGACCCTCTGTCTAGACAGTGCTGATTGGTCCTGCACTGATCTCACGCACTCTCCCAAAAAAAAATAGTGCCCCACTCTAGAATTACATATCAAACTGAGCAATATGCAGCTTGCTTCCAAGGCTCTGCTCTATCAGAAGATGGGATTGGGGACAGTAAAAGGGGAGTATCAGAGAAGACAAGATCAAACATCTTTTTTACACAATGAGGAGTAATAACCCCTTAGGTACCATAGTGAGTATAACAAGCATGCTTTACTGCATATACAGACTGATTTTACTGTTGTGGGCTTAGTAATACTTTAAGAGCATAATGTGCTAGCATGCAACGCATACTAGCTCATTATGAAAGATTTTTCTGAAAAGGAAGCCGTCCAGCGGAGCGCTGTCACGGCTTCCATCTTCACCAGGTCTTTCTTCCTGGCCGTTTGACTGGCCGAGCTACGGTGACGTCTCAGACCACGGTACAGCTATCTCAATGGAAGGCACGCCGTCCATTGAGAGTGCAGAGCTCATGCGCCTGTGACATCACCTGCGCTGCTGAAGTAAATATCTCCTAAGCGGTGCACGTTTAGGAGATATTTACAGTACCTACAAGTAAGCCTTATTAAAGGCTTACCTGTAAGTAAAACATGAAAAAATGACTTTATTATAATTTTAATAGTGTGCCATTGATGCTTATAGACTTTGCAATTTGATGGTATCATCCATCACTTCTCTGCAGCACACTGAAATGCAAGATCAATGGCTGTAAGGAGTGTGCTGGATCTTAAATGTAAGTATAGGTTTTGTTCCTGTAATGACATTTGATTTGAAAATAAAATAAAAATCAAATATGACTGACTTTGCTGGGTTTCCTCCTGTGATGCCAATGGGCTATTTGGCATCCTGCCACGTTACCTATAGTGTATATAATGTGGTAGAGATATTAGATTTTGACCTCCTGCAGGGAACAGGAACTGATGTGAATGTGTTTATGTGCTGTGTATAGAACTCTGTGATATATTGGTGTAGATAAATACTGAAAATCAATAATCTCATTTTAAAGTTACCTTTTACAGAAGAGTACGCCTTCCTTGAGAGATATGTGTATGAAAGAGCTTTTAACCATGACTTTATATTTTCGAGTAGACAGTGGAGTTGCAGTTTAGGCTCAACTCAAAACACATTAAATCTACCATTGTCAGACATCAGCCAACCTAAAAATACAGAATTAGGTGACTAGATGCTTTTAAGACCTCGTTCCTCTCTGGGCAGCTTGCCATCCACATGTTTAAGTGTCTGATTGCAGTAATAGCTGCTGATGTGAATCTGCTGTTTTTCTTCTGTAGACACTGAAATATTTGTCCAGCACACCCTGCCAGCATCAAAGTCCTGAAATAGTGCAGAAGTTTCTAACTGCAATGAAATCACATAAATTGACCAAGTAAGTGTTTGCTCATTACATGTTCTTTTAGCATTTATATCTTACTGTGGCCATATGCTCCTTGAAGAAGTACTACATTCCAGGACAGAGTAGCTCAGTCGGTATGAGGGACACATATTTGGCACAGACTAGAGTGGAATGAAACGATAAGAAGCATATGGTGATAGTATGAAAACAAATGGTTTATGTTGTTCAGTGATAATTATGCGGCACAGATTTATACTCTGTATACACAAGCAGGGGACATTTATCATGTTGAGAACATGCAGGAGCCAGATTGAAACAAGCTAGAGTTTACTCATTTTGTCTTACTTTCACATTTTACTTACGTTGTGTGTCATGTTTTAATTTTATATACAGATTTGCAGATTCTTCCTCTAATTAAAGCAGCGTTCCACCTGAAAAAAATAAATAAAAGCAGCTACAAAAACTGTAGCTGCTAACTTTTAAAATGCAGCCACTTACTTGTCCCTCGGTCCAGCGGTGTCCTCATCACGGCTGGGTTCACTGGCCGTCTTCTCTTCCTGGCACCAGCATCTTCAGTGTGGGCAACCGGCTGTGAGAGCTTGGGGATTCACAACTGGGTGCCCACTGCGCATGCGTGAGAAGCGCTGCGCTTTGTGAATGGCCCCGTAGTCTTCTGGGACCTGTCACATGTCCCAGAAGACTACAGGGAGGGAGGGGGGGTGGATAACTCTCGCTTCCAATCCTAGGCGATGGCAGTGGGAGCTGGCACCTGTCAAATACGGGCAGTAGTAGCCGTTTACTATTATGATCCCCAAAGGTGCCAATCTTAATGGGGAGCGGGGGACAAAAAACTTCCCCTTTTTGGGTGGAGTTCTGCTTTAATATATGGCACAGTAGTTACTGTCGTTGTTGAGGAACTGCTGAGATAAAAAGATTACCAGATTCTAGTCTTCCTCTACTTTACTGGGTGTTTTTACTGCTGTCTGTGTTCCACTTAGAGAATCCCCTATACTTCTTGTTCTACTTACATAATGTCATCAGGAGAGAAAGTGAAGGGAAATCTCCCTGGTGGAGTCAGAGACACTAACATTTTCTGTACTCTATCCAGAACCAAAATAAAAGTTTTGGCTGGAGGTGCTTTGCGAGGCCTCATGCATATGGGTGCTCTCAGGCATACAATGTAAATTGCGAGTGCATTTCCACACCCCGGATAGACAGTAATGATGAATGGTTTATGCGGTTTTATGTTTCTACTTACCCAAACTATTGCATATGTAAAGCTGCACACCCTGGAGTCTGGGTGCAGACTCTTCATGTTCAGAATTGCACACCCATAAAGATGCACAGGTTTATGCAAGTAGCAGTGTACAGCCATTTACTACTATGATTGGCTGTATGTGGCATGTGTATATCTGGGGCACAGAAATGCACCCGCGGTTTACGTTCTATGACCTCAAGCACCCATGTCATGAGGCCTGTGATGTTCAGTAAAAAGCATATGCTTAGGTTCTGGTCAGTCTGCTGTTTGCATGCCAAGTACTTTTGGCAGGTCCTGCGTTCAGATTTAGAGACAACACAGGACAATCTTTTTTAAGCTGGCATGCCTCCTAATCATTAACAATTGACAATAAGACAAAACTTTAAAATACAGAATAACAAAATATTACTTCCACATTTGGATTATGATTGTGTTTTCAGAAGAAAGGTTGCCAGTTAAATGCTGAATCTTTAACCTTATTTTGATAGCACTCTCTTTGTACTCTATAAAAAAAATAAGAATTGTTTCATCACATTAATGGCCACAAATCCAGATGATGGCAGCTGGCCCAGCCAAGAAAACAATGCTCATTTTTTCTGCCTGGTCTTATTGCCTCAGTGTTTATCATTTCAGATCATGTAATACAGAAAGTGCCTTTGCTGCAGGATCATTTTGCAAAGAAAATGACCAGTGTCCTAATTATGTTCTAACAAATGTATTTGCCTAAATGGTATATTACAAATTTAGAAAGATATTTATTGATAGTATAAAGCTGTTGATAGAATTGTGAGAAAAACCTTAAAACTGGATTTGATGATTATAGGTGGAAGAAGCTATTAAAGTATAAACATTTTTCTGTTCTGTGTTAAGGTTTACTGGTTTAGTCCAGCCATAGATGGATCAAATATCAGCTGGTTCAGCTGTAACCGCCAGCAGTAATCGTGTTTTCCCTGCAGGGATGGCTCCCCGCTGGGAGAACACAATAGCTCCGCAGGAGGGATTCCCCCATCAACACTGACTGTGTTGATGGGGGGAAATCAAGGGAATCAAGTGATTTTTTTTACAGGTTGCAGGAAAGAAATTGCATAATCTATGGCCTATCTTACTTTTTGTTTGGTGCTCTTGATGCTGTCAGGCCGCATTAAAGCAGAAGTCAAGAAAGCCCTACATACATGTGCTAAAAATCTTCCATTTACTGAAATGACCATAAAATCAGGTCAAGATCTGCTTCTGGTCATATGAATCTAGAATTATTCTGAAAATCCCTCAGGGTACATGATATAGGGAGGGAATTTATCCTCTATGGGCAGGGGTGGGGGCATGCACCAATGTCATTTGAAGGCCCCACTGCATGCTATAACCTGTGGTGACAATGCAGAAGGCAGAATTACAGTCACTTTATTACTGTTCTGGTAATTCCACAATTAGTGTCTCTACCACTAAAGCCCATAAAAGTTACCAAAATCATGTCCAAGGGTTTTCAGTTAGTGGCTGATTTATCCAGTATGCTGGTAAATCTTAAAGAGAAGGCACAATGATTAGGGGTAAGGATTGCTAATGTTAAAAAAACATCTTGGATGACTAATAATATTTCATTGCATTGTTATCAGTAACAGATTAGTTTTTTTAACAGTGATTCCATTTTGTTTAAAAGTCACTAGCAAAACTATCAAACTGCAAGTTTTAAATTCCACTTGTTCTGTGAAATATAATTCGCATATTGTGTTTCTTAGCTGCATAAATGTCACTTAGATGGCTGGAGCCATATTGTGGTAACCGCCTAGAAAGCACTGTAAATTATAATGGCATCCTTTTAGCTGTGCCATCACATACAAAGGTGCATTGCATATGGTGAGGAGTGGATCAATGGCAGCATTGCATGGGCGTTAGAGTGAAAAAATAAACACGCGACAGGTCAGTTTTTTTGAAACTGTACTGTATTATGAAGCAATTTAACTACATTATTGAAATAAAATTTATAGTCGCGATAACATTTATCTGGTATGCTTCATACCATTATTGCTCTGTAATGGGATTGAATTCATACCACTCAGGTTATTGCTTTAGAACAGGAAAGGTGAAAATAACCTATGTGTTTAGTTATATAATTGTGCACTTTCCATTTTGTTAAGAATGAATATAACCCTACATACTGTATCAGTTATTACCACCCTTGCCTGCTGTATTAAAAGCCACCATAAAATGGCAATGCACAGTAAGTAAAAGTAAAAATAGCAACATCCATGAAGGAATTTATACAGCAGTGTCATCCTTGTAAATTTCGTTTTTATGATTATATGTTGCCTTTTTTCAGCATTTTAAATCAGGAAATTGTTTCCAAAAAGTTAGGAGTCAAGCTCCAAATTGCTAGTGAGTCAGATTTAGATATTTATGTCACTGCAATAAAAAAAAATATGCTAATTGGTCCGCCAAGTAAAAAGTAGTGCCGTCATTGCAGATCCAGAGTAGTATCAGGTAGAATGGTGCTATAGGGGTAGTATATCGATCAACAAATGAAGAAATATGTCTTTTTACAGCGTCAATGCTCCTGTAGCTCACCAACCTATCCCACTTTTCAGCCTGTTACTAAATTACATTACATTTGCTGCTGAATGACTCTTATTTTATGTCAGGCAACAGGTTATTATCTTGCCTGTCCATGTCTGCTTAGTAATTGGGCTGTGCTACATTCCAGGATGTTGTATCTGCCAGTGTATAAATGACCGCAGCCGACTGCATCCAGGCATGTGAGATTTATACCACAAGGTGGCACTCGAAAGGAGATCAGTAATGGTTGATAACAAGGTTCCATAGCTGTTATCTGTGGTCATGTGGCCTGACTGCAGTGACCCTCATTAGCAATTGCTGATATGGTCCATGAAAATGCTGTCTGGCATAACAAAGGCCAATAAGTTTAGGTTCATAAGTTAATTTTGTTTACTTGGCTTTCTATTGCTAAAATCAACTAATAGAAATTGTGAATTATTTGTATAGCAGTTACAGGTATGCTCTGTGCACAGAATGTTTTAGGAGCCGGGATATTTTGTATTGTTTAATGCTTTATATGGCATTTAGAAAAAGTCCATGGGAGAAATAATATGCTTCTATTTTTGAAGAGCAGAGAAGCTGCAGCTACTTAACCATCGGCCCATGACAGCAGTGGAAATCCAGCTGGTGAGTACATTCTTCTTCTTACAGCATTTTCTGATTAAATACAGTATCTGCTGAGTGCATGTCAAGGGAGGGAAGCTTTATTGTTGCACATCTTTGTGTGTTGAGCTCTCCATATGTCCTTAACCCCTACTGTTTCTTAAGTCACCATGATGTTATTTAATGTGTAAAACAGATAAACAGGTTTTCTTTAGTTCATTGGCATGTAAGCAGCATGCTTTGAAAAATAAAAAAAGGGTGATGTTTAATCATTACTACTATAAATTCAACTGCCAGAAAACATGTCAATTCTGAGGGCAGCGCTAGTAACATTTACTTCATGTACTTTGTTAAAATGTGTTCTTTCTAAATGTAGAACTTTGTTATGGAATGATGTGAATGTAATACTTTCTGTATGCTGCAGTTTCTGCTGGTATAAATCATCCTAGAAAGACAGGTGTCTTAATGATCCTCTCTGTGAAGCTTCATGTAACTGTTCTGAACTGGGACCCCACTGACCCTCTGCTTTTCCTCCAGCTTCCCAGCCTTCTTTACGCTAAAAATCTTCTCCATTAAGATAATACAAAAGAGCAAAAGCCCAAAACAAGATTTCCATTACCTTAGTAATCGGGCTGTGCTACATTCCAGGATGTTGAGCACTGAAAAAAGAAATGCTGATTGATTCTTATGATTTATTGCAAGTTGCACATTCCTCTCGCATTACCAAAATACTGTTAAGCAATGACAAATTCAGATCAAGGGACCAGATCAGTATAGAGAAAATGTACCCATTGATATGACAGTTGGCTAATGCAACCCTTTTCCATCTCATTGCTATAGGAAAAAAGGTATCAGTTTTACAGGTTAGCAGTCTTGTGTGTTCACAATTGGTTTCCCCCCGTAAGGTGGCACGGGAGGTATCGGCAGCACACCACCTCCATAGTAAATATAAGTAGTCGTGACCTTGCAGCAGTCTCAGATGCCTGAAGCTTTGTGCCTATATATCCAACTTCCTTTTGGTGTCTATTGGCACTTTAAAGTCCAACTGTTGGCTCCAATCTCTCCCCCAACCCACCTGCCACCTCTTTTCTCTCCCCTCAGGCCACCTCCCTCCCTCTACTGAAGTTCCATCAGTGTGTATGTTATCTTTTCACTTTAATACTTTTTCTAAAGTCTTCAGAGCAGACCTCTTTCTTTTCAGCTCTTCTCTGAGCTGGGTGGTTCTAACGGATGCAGAGAGCCATCACATCTGCACTAGTACATTGTGAATGATGATGAGCACTGTTAAAATGCCACAGTGGGTAAGTCGATGACACTGCATTCGGAGTGGAATCTTGTACTGTGGAGGACAACTCTGGATTAAGGGTAAGTATTGCAGTAAGAGCTGTTTTTTTTTTTTTTACATTGAGTAAATGTATCATAAGAAAAAAGTTGAACCAGAGTTTTGTTTTAAGGACCCTTAGATTTTTATGAATGGATTTTATGCCTGCATAGGGTTCCCCAATTAGGCTGTTTGTGGTTTAGTTTTACAAATCCTGTTTTTTGTTGTTTTATCATTGTTTGAAAAATAGATGGTGGAAGAGAGCGAAGAAAGGCTAACAGAAGAACAGATTGAGCAGCTCATTCAGACAGTAACCAGCATTCTTCCTGGAGATCCTGAGTCTGCAACACAGGAGGAGACTAAAATGGAAGAGGAAGATGTTCCAATAGGATAAAGGACATTCATCAGTAACAAATGAGTCCTTGTTACGAAATCTATTCTACATTTTTGTTTTGTCGCTTATGAAATATTTTGGCTAATCTCAAATCTTACAATGTTATGAATTCACATAAGTGAAACAATATCCTTATGTATCTTCAGTTCCAATTTATTCCATTTTTTTTTTTTAAATAAAATGCTGTATTTTTTTGGGTGTAAAATATTTATGTGAATATATGTGGTGACAATCTAGTCATACTTTCATTTTAACTAGTAGACATGTCTCTTAAATAAAACATGCCATTTAAAGAAGACTTATAAAGGACTTTAATAAAATATTTGTGCTTTTGGAAAGACGTCTTGTGCAGACTCAGTGGGGCTGTTTTACTAAAACTGCATGGTGCAAAATCTGCTGCAGTTCTGCATTTTGTTTTTGTCAAAGCTTAATTGAAGAAGCTGAAGCTAGAACCTGATTGGCTACCATGTACAGCTGCACCAGATTTTGCGCGCTCCAGTTTTAGTAAATCAACTCCAGTGGGTTTTAATGCAGTAACTATAGCTCCCCCGAGCCCATCCTATGAAGCCTGCATTCTGAATTGTCATGCTGGGCCAAGTCCATCTTCCACTTGTTCCCTGTACTAATTGTAGACTTATTAGATGTCTATACACATACAGGCTGGATCGCCCAATTCACAGTGGCCTGATCTGTGAACATTTAGCTCTTAAAGAAGTGTTCTGACCTAGAGATGCCAAGCTATACGGTGTGAGGGAGCAATGACAAGACTCTCTCTTGCAGCCCTCATATGACTGTATCATTTGTAATACCCGCTTGACATTCCATTCCACTTTTACCATCCTTTCCTTTCCCTAATATCCATTTCCCCACCTCCTCCCCTCCCACAACTTCCTGGGACATGTCACTATGCACAAAGCACTCACGCATGCACAGTGGGGATTCCTTTGGAAGCACAGCAGGCTCCCGTATCCAAGTTGGAGGCACCAGGGGCAGAGAGACAGACCTGGATTCCAAGTAATGGTAAGTACCTGTTTTTTTTAAAGTCAGCAGCTACAGTAGTTGTAGCTGCTGATGTTTAAAGAAATAAACAGAAACTGAAGTTCCTCTTTAAGTACTGCAGCACATATTTTTTTTTAATGGGAACCAATGGTTCCACTTTAGCTACAAAAAGTGATTTTGTCACTTTAGAGGTTAACATTATAATAAAAAATGCAATTTACTATATTTAATCACAGGGAAAGAGGCCATAAATAATTTCCTGTATTTAGCTGAAAAAAATATGTAAGAACATTTAATTTATCATTTTGAGAACACAGCTGGGAGCATTTTTTAACCTTAATACACTGAGGTGTGCAGAGAAGAAGCGAGAGGCTTGTTTGTAGCCCATAAAACACCAGTTTGACATGTCTGATCTAAATATACATATTATTTGGGCTGTTCCATACTAATTCCTGCTTGTTTTAGCACATTTGATCAAATCATGGAATTTATTCTGGTTAGATATAGAATTGACATGTTTTAGACTTTCAAAGTAGAATATTTTGTAATCCAATTTAAAAGAGCCTGGGCAGATGTCCTATAATCTGAAAAGGAGAAATGTACTGAACTAAAGCAAATCTTCATTCTTGTTCATAAAGGGATACAGGGTCAGACGTAAATAAGAGACAACTGGGTTATACTGTCACTTACAGGAGGAGTTGGATACTGGAAAGCCTAAAAGACTTCAGTCAGACAATGCCACAACAGTGGTTGTTCTGCCCACTTACTGTATATGTATCCATTTTGTGTTGTATTGAACTGCATCAAGTTATTATTGTTCTGTAGTATGCTGACATCTAGCTGTGGTTTATGGGCCATTATAACATGCTTATTTATGTGATTTGGTATCTCCCTTTGTTGTTCTCTTCTGTTTAATGACAGTTCATTTAGTTCTAGCTAGACCTTCCCTGGTTCTTCCATGTTCCCTCAGTCAGTGTTGGAAAATCAGTCTTACACTTCAAAAGACTGCAATTATCTATGAATTCAACTTCTGTGTCTTATTGATGAGTTAAGCTGCCTGTGGCTGGTGCAAAGGAGGTATGTCAATGCATTAAGCTGCATTTGAAACAGAGCAATGATCTTTATTAACCTTCAGGGAGGGACTAGAAGCCTTGCTGCGGTAAGTGAAGCAAAAACAATTCTGTCTAGAACTTTACATCCCAGTCTTGCCCACTGGTCTCATTCCAGGTGTGGGCAATTGGCAAGCAGACTACCTCAGTCACAATCCATCTACCTGGGAGAATGGTCTATTCACTGAGAGGTGCCTCAGGTCCTTTGTTGCAGGTTGGGGACCCCAACTATGGATTTCCTGGCCTCCAGATTCAACAACAATTTGACAAAGTTTGTCTCCAAATGCAGAGATCCACTGGTGGTAGAGGTGAATGCTCTGGTATCTCTGTGGGATTGACCACAGTACAACTTGACCTATGCCTTTCCTCCTCTGAAACTTCATCCTTATCTACTCCGCAGGATTGAAATGGAGGACATTCGGTGATTTTCATAGTAACCAACGTTTTGCAATATAGCCTAAATCAGCATTTGGCCAGCAGTAGCATTATGGGTCAAATATAAGCCCTTACTATCCTGTTTCAGATATTGTTTGTGTCTCATTCTTTGATTCAGTCTTTTGTACAGGGTATCTCTCCTGTGACACCGTAGGATCTGAATATAGTTCTTTCTCTCCTTCAAGAATCACCTTTTTGAACCTATTAGGGATATTTCTCTTTGCTCTCTCACATACAAGGTTGTCTTTCTTGTTGCCATCACCTCTACAAGGTGTGAGTGTGTCTGAATTAGCTACCTTGTCTTTTAAAAAACCTTTTCTGATCTTACACTATGACAAAGTTGGCTTGAAGTCCAGAACCTCCCACACAGTGTGGCTTGGCCCTGCCCCCAACTCTCTCTTCACGGTCTCTGATTGATAGCAGCAGGGGCCAGTGGCTTGATTTCCAGTGAGAGAACGCTCTTGGCACATTGCTGGATCAAGATCAGGCTCAGGTAAGTATGAGGAGGAGCTGGAGGAGAAGCTGCAAACATAAGGGTTTTTTTTTTGTTTTTTTTTTTTACCTTGAAGTGGTTCTAAAGGCAGAAGGTTTTTTTTTCTTTTCTTAATGCATTCTAAGGTAAAAAAACCTTTTGCATGCAGCTCCCCCCAAGTCCCCCCTAAATACATACCTGAGCCCAATCTTGATCCAGCAGTGTGCACAAGAGCAGCAGCTCTCTCTTTCGTCATTGGATAGAGAGCCAGCAGCGGGAGTCATTGGCTCCTGCTCCTGTCAATCACCGCCAGCTCAGGAGCGAACACACGAGTGCCCCTATAGCAAGTAACTTGCTATGGGGGCACTTGGCAGGGGGGAAGAGCCTAGACCTCTGCCAGGGGACATCAGAAGAGGGGGATCGGGCTGTCTCTGTCCAAAACTATTGCACAGAGCTGTTAAGTATGACATGTTTGTTATTTTAAAGAAAATAAAATTAGGTTTAGAATCACTTTAATGCAGAAAATGTATCAAGGTAAAAAAAAAAAAACCTTCTACACCACCAAGATCCTGCTCAGCCATTATTTGCAGTTTGTACTCTCTTTCTAGAATGTATGATGCATGCTTTAGCGCCCAGGCTCATAACTTTACATTAACAACATTAACTTCTTGCCGACCAGCTACTGTAGAAATACGGTGGCAGGTAGGCACGGCTGGGCAAAACCACGTTTGAAAACGTGCTTTTGCAAAACAGGCAGGGGGCGCACGCAAGGCGCGCCACCGCCCTACCTGCACCGCCGATCCCGGCCGCGGGTGTCAGTCGCCGGGTCACGGACGGTCATTACCAGCCGTGTCCCGCCGATTAGCGCCAATCACTGACAGAGAGCAGGGCTGCAGTAGCTCTGCTTTCTGTCAGTTCCCTGACAGCTCCTGACATGCTGATCCAGAGAGAAGAGTTTCTCTCTCTCACGATCAGCAAGTCCCAGTGCAGTACACAGCCCCACCCCCTAGTAAAACACTCCCCTCGCACAGTTAACCCTTTCAGTGAATAAAAAAGTTAACCCCTTCCTCCCCAGTGCCATTAGTACAGTGTCAGTGTTTTTTTTTTTTGCACTGATCACTGTATTGGTGTCACTGGGGATGTCAGTCCCCCCCCCCCCCAGTGTCAGAATGTCCGCCGCAGTCCTGCCATAAGTTGCTGATCGCCGCCATTATTAGTATAAAAATAAATAAAAAATCCGAGTATCTTTCCCGCCATTTGTAAACGCTATAACTTTCACGTAAACCAATTTACACGTATTGGGTTTTTTTTTCAGCCAAGACATGTCGCAGAATGCATTTTGGCCAAAATTTATGACGAAATTTGATTTTTATTTATTTTTTTTTACTGGACATGTTTTATAGCAAAAAGTCCAAAATATTGTTTTTTTTTTTTTTCTTAAAATTGTCAGCCTTTTTTTTTTTTATAGCACAAAAAATAAAACGCACAGGCGATCAAATAACACCGAATGAAAGCTCTGTTCGTGAAAAAAAAAAAAAAAGGACATAAATTTCACTTATGTACAGTACTGCATGACCGCACAATTGTTCGTTAAACTAGCGCAGCGCTGTATAGCATAAAAAAAGGCGTAAATTGCAGTATCTATACCATAGTTTGTAGACGCTATAACTTTCACACAAAACAATCAATATACACTTATTAGGATTTTTTTTACCAAAAACATGGAGCAGAATACATTTTGGCCTAAATTTATAACTAACTTTGAGTTTACTATATATTTTTTATAGCTGAAAGTAAAAAAATATCGTTTTTCTTCAAAATTTTTGGTCTTTTTTTGTTTATAGCGTGAAAAATAAAAAGGGCACAGGTGATCAAATACCACCAAAAGAAAGCTCTATTTGTGTGAAAAAAAAGGATGTAAATTTTGTTTGGGTGCAGCATTGCATGACCGCACAATTATCAGTTGAATTAGTGCAGCGCCGAGT